AACAAGAAGATCTAACAACTGTAAATATCTATGCCCCTAACATGGGAGCAGCCAATTATATAAGCCAATTAATAACAAGAGCAAAAAAACACATCGACAACAATACAATAATAGTAGGGGCTTTAACACCCCCCTCACTGAAATGGACAGATCATCTAAGCAAAAGATCAACAAGGAAATAAAGACTTTAAATGACACACTGCAGGGCGCCTGGGTGGCTCAGTTGGTTAAGCGACTGCCTTCGGCTCAGGTCATGGTCCCGGGGTCCTGGGATCAAGTCCCGCATCGGGCTCCCTGCTCTGCGGGGAGCCTGCTTCTCCCTCTCCCACTCCCCCTGCTTGTGTTCCCTCTCTCGCTGTGTCTCTTTCTGTCAAATAAATAAATAAAATCTTAAAAATAAATAAATAAATAAATAAATAAATGACACACTGCACCAAATGGACTTCACAGATATATTCAGAACATTCCATCCCAAAGCAACAGAATACACATTCTTCTCTAGTGCCCATGGAACATTCTCCAGAATAGATCACATCCAAGGTCACAAATCAGGTCTCAACCGGTACCAAAAGATTGGGATCATTCCCTGTATATTTTCAGACCACGATGCTTTGAAACTAGAACTCAATAACAGCAGGAAAGTTGGAAAGAACTCAAGTACATGGAGGCTAAAGAGCATCCTACTAGAGAATGAATGGGTCAACCAGGAAATTAAAGAAGAATCAAAAAAATACATGGAAACCAATGAAAATGAAAACACAACTGTTCAAAATCTTTGGGATGCAGCAAAGGCAGTCCTAAGAGGAAAGTATATAGCAATACAAGCCTTTCTTAAGAAATAAGAAAGGTCTCAAATACACAACCTAACCCTGCACCTAAAGGAGCTGGAGAAGGAACAGCAAATAAAGCCTAAACCCAGCAGGAGAAGAGAAATAATAAAGATCAGAGCAGAAATCAATGAAATAGAAACCAAAAGAACAGTAGAACAGATAAACAAAACTAGGAGCTGGTTCTTTGAAACAATTAACAAGATTGAGAAACCCCTGGCCAGACTTATCAAAAAGAAAAGAGAAACAACCCAAATAAATAAAATCATGAATGAAAGAGGAGAGATCACAACCAACACCAAAGAAATACAAACAATTATAAGAACATATTATGAGCAACTCTATGCCAGCAAATTAGATAATCTGGAAGAAATGGGTGCATTCCTAGAGATGTATCAACTACCGAAACTGAACCAGGAAGAAATAGAAAACCTGAACAGACCTATAACCACTAAGGAAATTGAAGCAGTCATCAAAAATCTCCCCCTCCCCCCCAAAAAAAGCCCAGGGCCAGATGGCTTCCCAGGGGAATTCTACCAAACATTTAAAGAAGAATTAATACTATTCTTCTGAAACTGTTCCAAAAAAATAGAAATGGAAGGAAAACTTCCAAACTCGTTTTATGAGGCCACCATTACCTTGATCCCAAAACCAGACAAAGACCCCACCAAAAAGGAGAATTACAGACCAATATCTCTGATGAACATGGATGCAAAAATTCTCACCAAAATACTAGCCAATAGGATCCAACAGTACATTAAAAGGATTATTCACCATGACCAAGTGGGATTTATCCCTGGGCTGCAAGGTTGGCTCAACATCTGCAAATCAATCAATGTGATACAAGACATTAATAAAAGAAAGAACAAGAACCATAGGATCCTCTCAATAGATGCAGAAAAAGCATTTGACAAAGTACAGCATACTTTCTTGATCAAAACTCTTCAGAGTATAGGGATAGAGGGTACATACCTCAATATCATAAAAGCCATCTATGAAAAGCCCACAGTGAATATCATTCTCAATGGGGAAAACCTGAGAGCTTTCCCCCTAAGGTCAGGAACATGGCAGGGATGTCCACTATCACCACTGCTCTTCAACATAGTACTAGATGTCCTAGCCACAGAAATCAGACAATAAAAAGAAATAAAAGGCATTCAAATTGGCAAAGAAGTCACTCTCTCACTCTTTGCAGATGATATTATACTTTATGTGGAAAACCCAAAAGACTCCACCCCAAAACTGCTAGAACTCATACAGGAATTCAGTCAAGTGGCAGGATATAAAATCAATACACAGAAATCAGTGGCATTCCTATACACCAACAACAAGACAGACGAAAGAGAAATTAAGGAGTTGATCCCATTTACAATTGCACCCAAAACTATAAGATACCTAGGAATAAGTCTAACCAAAGAGGCAAAGGATCTGTACTCAGAAAACTATAAAATACTCATGCAAGAAATTGAGGAAGACACAAAGAAATGGAAAAACGTTCCATGCTCATGGATTGGAAGAACAAATATTGTGAAGATGTTAAAGGCACTAGAGAAGAATGTGTTAATTGTTTCAATGTCGAGCAATCTACACATTCAATGCAATCCCTATCAAAATACCATCCACTTTTTTCAAAGAAATGGAACAAATAATCCTAAAAATTTTTTTTTAAAGATTTTTATTCATTTATTTGAGAGAGAGAGAATGAGAGAGAGCACATGAGAGTGGGGAGGGTCAGAGGGAGAAGCAGACTCCCCACCGAGCAGGGAGCCCGATGCGGGACTCGATCCCGGGACTCTAGGATCATGACCTGAGCCGAAGGCAGTCGCTCAACCAACTGAGCCACCCAGGCACCCCCAAATAATCCTAAAATTTGTATGGAACCAGAAAAGACCCCGAATAGCCAGAGGAATGTTGAAAAAGAAAAGCAAAGCTGTTGGCATCACAGTCCCGGACTTCAAGCTCTATTACAAAGCTGTAATCATCAAGACAGTATGGTACTGGCACAAAAACAGACACAGATCGGGCGCCTGGGTGGCTCAGTTGGTTAAGTGACTGCCTTCGGCTCAGGTCATGATCCTGGAGTCCCTGGATCGAGTCCCGCATTGGGCTCCCTGCTCGGCAGGGAGTCTGCTTCTCCCTCTGACCCTCCCCCTCTCATCTGCTCTCTCTCATTCTCTCTCTCTCAAATAAATAAATAAAACCTTTAAAAAAAAAAACAGACACAGATCAATGTAACAGAGAACAGAATAGATAGCCCAGAAATGGACCCTCAACTCTATGGTCAACTAATCTTCGACAAAGCAGGAAAGAATGTCCAGTGGAAAAAAGACAGTCTTTTCAACAAATGGTGTTCAGAAAATTGGACAGCCACATGCAGAAGAATGAAAGTGGACCATTTCCTTACACCAAAATGGTTGAAAGACCTAAATGTGAGACAGGAGTCCATCAAAATCCTTGAGGAGAACACAGGCAGCAACCTCCTCGACCTCAGTCAAAGCAACTTCTTCCTAGAAACATTGCCAATGGCAAGGGAAGCAAGAGCAAAATGAACTATTGGGACTTCATCAAGATAAAAAGCTTTTGCGCAGCAAAAGAAACAGTCAACAAAACCAAAAGATAACCAACAGAATGGGAGCAGATATTTGCAAATGACATATTAGATAAAGGGTTAGTATCCAAAATCTATAAAGAACTTATTGGGATGCCTGGGTGGCTCAGTCGGTTAAGCAGCTGCCTTCGACCCAGGTCACGATCCCAGGGTCCTGGGATCGAGTCCCACATTGGGCTCCTTGCTCCACGGGGAGCCTGCTTCTCCCTCTCTCTCCCTCTGCTTGTGCTCTCGCTGTCAAATAAATAAAATCTTTAAAAAAAAAAGAAGAACTTATTAAACTCAACACCCAAAGAACAAATGATCCAATCAGGAAATGGGCAGAAGACATGAACAGACATTTTTTCCAAAGAATACATCCAAATGGCCAACAGACACACGAAAAAGTGCTCAACATCGCTCGGCATCAGGGAAATCCAAATCAAAACCTCAGTGAGATACCACCTCACACCAGTCAGAATGGCTAAAATTAACAAGTCAGGAAAGGACAGATGTTGGTGAGAATGTGGAGAAAGGGGAATCCTCCTACACTGTTGGTGGGAATGCAAGCTGGTGCAGCCACTCTGGAAAACAGTATGGAGGTTCCTCAAAAAGTTGAAAATAGAGCTACCATACGATCCAGCAATTGCACTACTGGGTATTTACCCTAAAGATACAAATGTAGGGATCTGAAGGGGTACGTGCACCCCAATGTTTATAGCAGCAATGTCCACAATAGCCAAACTATGGAAAGAGCCAAGATGTACATCAACAGATGAATGGATAAAGAAGAGGTGGTATATATATACACAATGGAATATTATGCAGCCATCGAAAGGAATGAAATCTTGCCATCTGCAATGACATGGATGGAACTGGAGGGTATTATGCCAAGCGAAGTAAGTCAATCAGAGAAAGACATGTATCATACAACCTCACCAATAATGAGGAATTCTTAATCTCAGGAAACAAACTGAGAGTTACTGGAGTGGTGGGGGGTGGGAGGGATGGGGTGGCTGGGTGATGACATTGGGGAGGGTATGTGCTATGGTGAGCGCTGTGAATTGTATAAGACTGTTGAATCACAGACCTGTATCTCTGAAACAAATAATACATTATATGTTAAAAAAAAAAAAGAAGAAGATAGCAGGAAGGGAAGAATAAGGGGGGGGAATCAGAGGGGGAGACGAACCATGAGAGACTATGGACTCTGAGAAACAAACTGAGGGTTCTGGAGGGGACAGGGGTGGGGGGATGGGTTAGCCTGATGACGGGTATTAAAGAGGGCACGTACTGCATGGAGCACTGGGTGTTATACGCAAACAGTGAATCATGGAACACTACATCAAAAACTAATGATGTAATGTATGGTGATTAACATAACATAAAAAAAAAAAGAATTTGGACCATGTCTTAGATTTCTTCGCATCCCCCAGAATACCTAGTCATGGGCCTTGTATATAGTCACTGCTCAATAAATTGTTGTTGCCTTGATATCTTTAAATGAATCCATCAAATACATGAAGAAAAAGAAAGATTTCTAATAAGGCTTTTCAATAAGGGGAAAGTGGGATAGAAGTATTTACCTGGTTTTGGCATAGAATTCATTAGAATGTCCAATAACTGCTGTTTCCTAAAACTTTGTATTTGTGACACATAATGTATTGCTGATTTTCCACTAAAATCACAGAGTTTAGGATCTCTAGGAAGAATAGAATCAACATCAAAGATAATTTAGTTAAATCTATTAAAAAAACAATATGAGGGAAAAACATTGACATCAAATAAATAAAAGTAATAACCGAGTTTGGAGCTGACAATAATAACTTCAAAATGTAAGAGAGAGTGACAATTTTTCAAGATTTTTAAGTAAAAGGATTATGCTGTATATCTTATTCCCACTCCCATCCTAAAAACATTCCAATATTTGCAGAAAATGTCCAACTTTGGGCAAAAGTTTTCATAATTCTTTAATGATGAGTAAATCAAGTAAAGATTGAAACATCCTGATAAACTGTTGTCTTACCATTCCAAATAGCTGACTTGATAGGTTTTTTTCTTTCCAGTGATTTAGCTAACTGCTTACTTTCTTGATGATTCTTTTTTTCTAATGCTAACAGCTAGCTTTTTATCATTCAAAATAGTAGAATGGCATAGAATCTCTCTTTAAAATTAAGCTGACATGTTTATTTCACAGGCTCTGGTTGAGTGGAGCGATCTTGTCATAAAATCCTTCTACATGATCTTCTCATTTCTCTTTGATGTTTTATCATCTGCAACAATAATCTCTTATGGATTTTTCTCCATTAAAGGTCATGATTCAAAAAAATAGCATAGGACCAAGAATCAGGGGACAGCCACTGCCTTGATATGTGGCAGTAAGTAAGTCACTTAACTCATTGGCACTTGAGTTTGCTCGTTTGCCTTGATTAGTGTTTCTCAATGTGGCATTTTTTGATTTCCTATATTCCGGACCCCACTCCAGGCCTATTGAACACCATCTCCGGAGTGGTGTCCAGTAATCTCCATGTTAAACAATCTCCTCAGTTGTTTCTTAACTCTGAAGTCTAAGGTAGCTTCAAACTTTCATCTTTATCCCATTATACTAACTGATCCTTTTACAATAGCTCATGTTCTTAACTATACTTTTGTTCTTGTAGCTCCCTTTTCCTTTTTTATTCCCAAAACAAAATTCTCATGAAATACTGAGAAAGAATTTGGGCCATCTGTTCTTATTTGATGATAAGATATCCAGGTAACAGTATTAGGAAACTGCAATTCCAGCATGAAAAACTGTGTATTAATCCTGATTTTTTTTTTTAAGATTTTATTTATTTATCTGACAGATAGAGACACAGTGAGAGAGGGAACACAAGCAGGGGGAGTGGGAGAGGGAGAAGCAGGCCTCCCGCGGAGCAGGGAGCCCAATGCGGGGCTTGATCCCAGCACCCTGGGATCATGACCTGAGCTGAAGGCAGACGCTTAACGACTGAGCCACCCAGGCACCCCTAATCCTGATTTTTTTTTTTTCAAAAGCTAATTGTTTACTTACCCTCCTCCTAAAGAGCATTTTGGCATATAATAATTTTTAGATAACTGGAAATCACTACTATAAATTGCTTTTGATAATTGACAATGTTTTCTGAAATAATTAGTAACAACTTGGGGGTAAGGAGTTACATACTCAAGAAATATTTGACACTCCTCATAACTACCAAAATAATATTTAAACAAAAAAATAGTCAACATCATAAGAATAATAGATAGCAACATCTAACATCTGTACATCACATGCAACTGCTAAGTCTCTTTTATGAACATGCATGTGCATTCAATTCAATATAAAATTTTTTTGAGATTTTATTTTTAAGCAATGTCTACATCCAATGCAGAGCTTGAACTTACAACCCCGAGATCAAGAGTCACATGCCCTACCGACTGAGCCAGCCAGGCACCCCAATATGTAGAATTTTAAAAAGCAATCTATATGGGGGTATAGCTCAGTGGTAGAGCATTTGACTGCAAAAAGCAATCTATATGTTTAGGTTTACAAGTGACTTCTAAAAATAACAGTGACATAGAACCTCTTCCACTGATGCTGACTGACCACTCTTACTCACGCGTGATGCTTGAGGAGCTCAGACAGAACCTCCACAGGTCTGTAGACTGTTGACATATCAAGACCCTCAAACAGATCCACATCCCTCACAGCCAGCATCAGAGGGGTCAAGCCATGTTGGTTTGGGAAATTTATATCCAGGAACTCTTCAGATGCCTTTAAAAACAAGAAGCTTAATTTCTGTTATGTTTTTACTGTGTGACTATTTATACTAATCTTTGCATTTTCCTTGTTTAGCCAAATTTTCATTTTAACCTCAGTACATTCTTTCTCAGTATCTATATTGAGGAGGGGCTGATGAATTGAAAGAACACAGGCCTAAGAGACAGACAGACTTGGGTTTGAATTTTACTTCCTTAAGCTCATTCTTTAACCTCGCTGATAAGGTTATATCAAGGACACTTGATTAAATCAATGGACATCCAGTTAAGCAATGAATAATTTTCACTGGGGGCATAATTATATTAAAATATTTATTTGGTATTTATCTGAAATTCAAATTTAATTGAATGTCCTGTATTTTTTTGTTTGCAAAATCTGGCAATCCTACTCTCTAACCTTCAGAGTCCTCAGCTGCCAGTAGGAAAAACAATGTCTTCTCTGTGGGTTGTTTTTTTTTTTTTAAGATTTTGTTTGTTTATTTGAGAGAGAGACTGAGCAAGAGAGAGAGAGCATGAGCTGAGCCAGGGGAGAGGCTGAGGGAGAAGGAAAAGCAGACTCCCAGCCTCTGCTGCAGGGAGAGGATTGATGATCGGAGATAGAATATGAAAAGCACTGAGTAGAATTTGACACATGCTCAATAAATATTTGTGGAGTGAATGAATGATCCACAATAATAAGGTAGCTCATTTAACTGTATATAAACAGTCAAATGTAGGTGGGTATATAGATGATATTTGCTGCTTTAATGAAAGTAAAACTTAATTTGGATAATTCAGAACTGAAAAACCACTGTAAGGCCAAATTATCCAAATTGCTTATTTTGTAGACCAAAGTAACTCACTAATTTCCATCTCTATTTCACTTTATGCCATATCAGTATAGTCAATGTTTTTACCTCAGTTTCTCTAGGGACAAACTAAAGATAATGATATTACCTCAGAGGCGTGCTATGGGAATTAATTAGTTAATATTTTTTTTCAGTCTCTGAAAAGAAACTACCTCTTATATCAATGTTTATTATTAGTTAGAACCAACATGAAAGGTTTGAGCTGAGAGTACCCTTCCAATAGCACATTAATTCAGCATATCTGCTTATTAAGTTCTGGATTCAGTGATAGGCACCAGTTTCTTAAAAAGTGGCTGCTAATATTTAGGGTGGAAAAATGTGGTTATGAAAACATTTGGATTATAACAACTGTTACAAATACCATTGAAATAAAATTATTGTCTTTCAAAAGTGTTCTAAGCTTCAGTTATGACATATGGCAATTTTAGACTATGGTTTAATACAACAAAAGAATTTAAAGAGTTCTTTGGATTTTGTTGTAGATTTCTTTGAACTCTAGGTGACCAGAATTCTGTTCACTTTCTCTTTATCTGTTTGTGTCTCTACCATAGGGACTAGAAGAAACTGTTTCCTAGCAGCAATTGATTTTCTTTCAGTTGGAAGATCATGTGATCTGACAGTATCTCTGAAGGTAAATACCAAGAATAGGCAGCTGCCGGTCACCGACAATTAAAGTCCTTGGTTATGTATATGGTTTTGTAAGTTACTTTGGGAAAGCGTATCTGTGGCTAGAAGATCTAAACAAGAAGATCAATACCTTTAGAAGAAAGCACGTAAAAAACATATCCTCTTAACTCCTCTGGTTACAACTAAATATTATGCAAAGCATAGGCTCTCTGATTCCCTTTTCAGGATAAAGATAATAAGTGCAGCTGGTCCAAAGGGATCTAAACAGCAATTGTACAAATGGCAATGATGTCAAGGGAACTCCTCTGAGCAAGTTGACAGCAGTTCTCTAGGGGCATCCTGGGAGCATATCATTTCCCATCATTCTAACATCCAGCTGGAGGAAGGTGGAAATAGGCCGCTGCTGTGTTTTATTATCCTGTTTTCCACCCTAGTATCCTCTTTGATCCTGTTTCTTTCTCCTATTTTCTTCCTGAAACTTTCTGGGACTGCATTTGCAAAGAACTTATTTTTCTTTAAAAGGAGTCCTATGTAGTCCTTTCTTACCATTCACCTATCCAAAGGCAGAAACAAACATCAATTTAACTTACCAGCAAGTGTTGAAGTTGTTCAAGATTGCCTTGCCATGAACTTTGTAGAAGTTGCATTTGGGGAGCCTGGATTCCATTGATGGCCAAGAGTTGTCTTTGCACATCGCAATTAGCCACATGAACTGCGGTTTGATTGCTGTAATTACAAAGGGTGATATCTGCTCCCTTTTCCAGAAGAAATTCAACAACCTGCAACACCACAACATTCTTATTTACATTTTTTACTCTTTTTTTTTTTTTTAAGATTTTATTTATTTATTCATGAGAGACGGAGAGAGAGACAGAGGCAGAGGGAGAAGCAGGCTCCCCGCAGAGCAGGGAGCCCGATGCGGGACTCGATCCCAGGACCCTGGGATCATGACCTGAGCCGAAGGCAGACGCTCAACCGACTGAGCCACCCAGGCGTCCCCATTCTTATTTACATTTTTGAGTGCAAATAGTATCTTCAGGGCTACTCAGAAAACTTAGTTAGACATGGCTTTGATTCATGATGTAGGAAAGGAGAATAAGAGGGGCATAAAAATGAAGAATTGATTTGAATGCTGATGATTGCTATTTGCCTTTTTTAAGTTAGGAAAACAAAAATCTCCATGACATGGATGATTTGGGGATACTATTCTTTTCTTTGTTAAGATTTTATTTTTAAGTAATCTCTATACCCAACATGGGGCTTGAACTCACAACCCCGAGATCAAGAGTCACATGCTTGGGGTGCCTGAGTCACTCAGTTGGTTAAGCATCTGACTTCAGCTTAGGTCATGATCTCAGGGTCCTGGGATTGAGCCCTGCATTGGGCTCCATGCTCAGCAGGGAGTCTGCCCCTCCCACATGCTTGTGTTGCCTCTTTCTCAAATAAATAAAATCTTAAAAAAAAAAAAAGAGTCACCTGCTCTAACAGCCAGGCACCCCTTGGGGATACTATTCTTTTCTTAAAACTAGAAGTCTGTGAGTATATTATGTTAAACCCACATAAAGCATCCAAGTCCTATTAGTATGATCTGTAATTTAAATATAAAACCCAGGGCTCCTGGTTAGCTCAGTGAGTTAAGTATCTGCTTTTGGCTCAGGTTATGATCCCAGCATCCCTGCTCAGCAGGAGTCTGCTTCTCCCTCCCCCTGTTCTTGCACTCTCTCTCCCTCTCAAATAAATAAAATCTTTTAAAAAAAATAAAATATAAACCCCCCAAATTTAGACATACATTCTTGAAAGTACAAATATTTCCACAAGTATTTCTAGGGAGCAAATAAATGCTATTCACAATGTTGATACATAATTTATTCAACAAATAAGATCGAATGATTAACATGGGTCAAGAACTGTCCTTGGTGCTGAGATTCCAACAATGAACAAGGCAGGAACAAAGCTTTAAGGCATTTACAAACTAATGAGGAACAGAGACAGATAAAAAGGCAATTGTGACATAGTGTGATAAATGCAATGATAGGGTAAATATAGGAGACTGAAGGTGGCCACTTAGAAGAAATGAATTAAGCTGTCTTGGAGGGTCCAGGAAGACTTCGTGGAGAAAATGATGTCTATTAAGCTGAGAACTGAGGGATCAGACTTAGTTAACTAGGCAAAGGCTAGGGGAAAGATTGTTTCAAGCAAAGGATATAGTGTAAACAAAGTACAGTGGATGCTATGGACTGAATTATTTCTTCTCAAATTCATATGTTGAAAATGTGACTGTATTTGGAGAGGGGGCCTCTAGGAAGTAATTAAGGTTAGATGAGGTTCTAGAAATGGGGCCCTGATCTGATAGGATTAGTGTCATTATAAGAAGAGACAGGAGAACTTGTTTTCTTTCTCTCTGCCAAGTGAGGACACAGAGAGAAAGTGGCCATCTATAAGCCAGGAAAAAAGCTCTCACCAGAAACCAAATTGGCTAGAATCTTGATATTGGACTTCCCAGTTTCCAGAACTATGAAAAAATTAATTTCTATTGTTTAAGCTACTCAACCATGGTATTTTTGCTATGGAAAGTCCAAGATGCCGAATACAGAGGACAAAAGAACAAATAACACTCAAAGCTCTGGAAGTATAAATTAGACATGGAGCTCAGGATGGGGGATGGAGGGTAAGGAAATGTGATGGAGAAGTCAACAGTAGATAAATCCTGAAAGGCTTTACCAACTCCCTTTAGGAATTAGAGTTGTATCTTCAGGGCAATGGGAAGCCAGTGAAAGATTTTAAACAGAGAGATGACATGATCAGATCAGCACTCCAAAAAAATCACTGTGGGAAGAGCAGAAGTTGAGAGACCAATGAGATTACTCAGTGGCCTCATGTAGAGAAAATGGTACCAAATCAGGAAAGTGGTAGTAGAACTGTAGCAACTGAGGGCATAATCCAAGAATATTTAGGAGATAGAACTGATTAGATGTGGGTTTTGATGGTGAGCCAGAAATCAAGATAATCCCCAGGTTTTTCACTTCAGTCCATTTTTGTCTAGTTTCCCTACTGCCACTGAGGACCCGGCCACCATGATCTTTGGCCTGAAACAATGCAACAACCTTCTAATAGGTCTCTCCATTTCCAAATACCTTTGTCTGAAACCCATTACAGTGGATAGATTCAAAAAGTCAGAAAATAATAAGTGTTGTCAAGGTTCTGAAGAAATCAGAACACTTATACACTGTTGTAAATGGTACAGCCACTTTAAAAAACATTCTGGCAGTTCCTCAAATGATTAAACATAGAGTTCCCATATGACCCAGTAATTCCACCCCTAGGAATTCTAGAAGTGGAATGAAAGAGAAATGAAAACATATGACCACATTAATACTTATACACAAATGTTTGTGGCAGCCTTATTCATCATAGCCAAAACATGGAAACAACCCAAATTTCCATCAATGGACAAGTGAATAATGAAAATGCGGTATACCCATATAACAGAATATTATTTGACTATGAAAAGGAATGAAGTGCTGATCCATGCTGCAACATGAATCTTGAAAACAGTATGCTAAGTGAAAGAAGCCAATCACAAAAGACCACATGCTGTATGATTCCATTTATATGAAAGTCCAGAATAGGAAGATTTATAGAGACAGAAAGTAGATTAGTGGTTGCTTAGGGCCAGGGCAGGGAAAAGGAGGAAAGATAGAAAGAGATAGCTAAAGGGTTCAGAGTTTCTTTTGGGGGGGGGCAGGGAGGTGGGTAGTTCTTTTTGAGATGATGAAAATGTTTTAAAATTGACCATGGTGACGATTCTATATTCATGTGAATATACTAAAACCCACTGAATTCCACACCTTAAATGGGTAAATTGTATGGTATGTGAATTATATCTCACTAAAGCAGTTTTATTTTATTTTTTTTTAAAGATTTTTATTTATTTATTTGAGAGAGAGAATGAGATAGAGCACATGAGAGGGGGGAGGGTCAGAGGGAGAAGCAGACCCCCTGCCGAGCAAGGAGCCCGATATGGGACTCGATCCCGGGACTCCAGGATCATGACCTGAGCCGAAGGCAGTCGCTTAACCAACTGAGCCACCCAGGCGCCCACTAAAGCAGTTTTAAAAAATGCCTTTGCATGCCTGGTTGTCCTACGGGGTCTGGGCCCTGCCTTCCTTTCCAGCCTCATCTTATGCTACTCTTCCCCTTTCCGCTGCAAGTTCTAGTCACCTTTTTACCTCAAATATGCAAGTTTTTTCCTAACGAAGAGGCTTTATCTCCATTATCCCTTCTTCCCCAACAGTTCTTCAAATGTCATCCTTTATCATTACTTTAGTCCTAGCATAAATGTAACCACATTAGTGAAGATTTTCCTGACCACCTTATTAAAAGAGGATTCACTCTATTGGTTATTTCAAAGCACTAACAGCAATTTGTAATGTAATTAAGTGCTTTTTGTTTCCTTATTTGTTGTGTTTCACCTTCACTAGCATGTAAGTCCACATTGCAAGAGATCTTATCACATGAATAAATGTCTTAGGAATGAGTAAATGAATGATTTAAGATAAATAGATGCTGATGCTATTTAATAAAATGGAAAGCACTGATGCTGGTGTTCCTCAGGAGAATTAGATTTGGGGAGAAAAACAATGAAGACAATGTGGACATGCTATGTTTGAGATCTGCCACACACACACACACACACACAGAGGTATTCAGGTGAGAGATGTGAGTTGAGATACAGAATTAGGAGCCACCCCCTTATCATTAAGGAACACCGATATTTAATGGATGAAAAGAAAGAATTCATAATGTGACTGGAGAGATATTGCCTGGGAGGTGGGGGAAAAACCAGAAGGAAGCTAATGGAAGAAAGCATTTCAAGAAAAATTGGTATCTAATGCTGCTAATACCTGAAAGGTCATAAAGGACATTATAGGTCACATCAGCAAAAGCAGTTTCAATGGACTGGTAGGGAACAATGCCAGACTGCAGTAGTTTGAAGAGGTGAGAAAGTGGAGGCAGTGAGGATTGACCAGAAGAACACTCTTTAGAGGAGCTGTTGGAAGACAATTCTCCAGAAACTCCAGGAACTTGTGTTTTGTAGGTTTTGTGAGCAGATGTGCTGACTGCCTTTGTTCTAGACCATGTTTTCAAAGAAGTGTATATAATGAATGACTTTGCAAGATAGAGATAGTGTCTCTTTCTGGAGCATTGGGAGCATTGGGAAAACATGCTTACTGTCTATTGTAAAAGACTCAGTTTTCCTAAGCTCAGGTTTCCCCTCTTTTTATTCAACCCACTGCATGTACAGATATCACTTCTTTACGTTGCCTTGTGGAAACTGAAGGAAATGCTGATACTCTGGCCATTACAGTTGTGAATAGTAAACTGTCATTTTCCTCTGACCCAGGAGTCTCGTGTCTTCTGCCAGACTGAAACTGGTAGGCTAACTTAAGGAAAAATCTCAGGTGTTTCACAGTTACTAATTTTTGCAAAAGATGAGATGATAAGAAAGATAGAAATGATAGAGGAAGAATGAGGGCTCCATGGGGTAACTAATGAGATTTATAGAAAGTTCATGGGAAGTGGTAGCAAATATGTTGACCAAATTGTATGGTCAATTGGGCAATAAACGATCCTCCATGTTATTGACTACCAATGCCTCTTTAAGGAACTGGGAGGTAATTAAAGGCTGGGTAACAGGAAATAAGTTCAAAAAACAACTGTTCCCTGGTTTTTGATAATTTTTCTATGTCTGCTATCTTCCTCAACAATCTGGCAGTTGGCTTCAGGTCCCTGCCACTATAACAAATAATACAAGATTTGTCCTGGGTGGGCAAAAGATTCTACTCCCTTACAGACAACAGTTACAGAAATGGGTATCTCCACTGAGCAGGAAAGAAGGAAAATTCATGACTGATACAGGCAAAAACCAGGCTTTGAACTCTGGCTCATTCATTTGGGATCTGGGTAGTGAGATGCATTATGTTTGTTAAGGAAGAGTGATAATAGTTATATTATAGCTCAGCCCTTCCTGCTGACAAGCTTAGATCCATTTAATGATGATAAAAGTCTCAGAATTTTTTGCAGTGGGTTTCAGCTACTGTAAGGGAGCTTTGAACCTCCTGGAAAGATTTCCTTGAGACAGACAAGTTCCCATGATAAAGCACAGAAGTGGTGTTCAGGTTCTTACTGGCCTGGATTGGGTTATAATACTAATGTAGATGACCCATTAGAGAGAGAGAAAATGACACAAAGAAATCTAGCAAATTTTTGTGATTAGCCCCACTACCCTGGAAAACTCCCCTATCCCTTATGTTAAAACTAAGTGAAAATGTAAAGATGTTATCATGACAAAAGGTCAGCAAATGATTCAGATTAAGATAGAATCCTTAAAAAAATTGAAAAAATTAAAAAAAAAAAAAGGCCTTGCTATGAAAGCCAAGCTGGAGTCAACCAAAGGGTGCAAACCCTGCAGTTCCAGTCAGAAAGCAATATGGCTATGGCCACTAAGTCAAGGATCCCTGAGGCTGAAATAGATGGTGTCAGTAATAATGACCTGGCCACCTGATAAAGAGCTTTGTATGGACCAAAAACATTGGAAGTTCATTTTGTTGAACAGCAAGAAGCTTCAATGCTTCTGGAAACCAAAAGTAAATATCCTCTGCTTATTGGTCTGGAGCCACTCTCTTTCGCCATGCTCCTAATCCCTCCCTCCCCCTATACCTTGACCTCAGCTGCTTTAAGGAGAAAGATCATTTTAAGTGGGGCCAAGGACACCCAGTCTTCAAAGGGGCCTGAAGGTCATAGCCACTGACATGGTTATGTGATGAACACTGGGGAAGGAGAGACTCAAACTTTTATGGCTCTCTTAGATTCAGATTTCAACACATGCGCATGTTGTCCAATGGAAATGGTGTATTTAAGAATGTAACTAGCCTGGACACATTGGCATCTTTGCTTCACATGAAAAAATGGTATCTTTTCCTTTGCTGGAAATTCTACCCACCCATCCACCCCCACTCCACCACCTGAAGCAAAACTTCTGGCTTAAAGGTACTTCGATTCATAGGGATTCCCCTAAGTGCCTGGGCCTGTGTCAATTATGGTTCAGTCAAGATGAAACCTGATGTGTGCACTGGGCTATTGCAGCTGGTTGGCCTCAGTGCCAGCTGTGCAGAACTGGCAAGGGACATGGTTGTTCCACTCAGTGGGTAAAACTCAAGGCTGTTCCCATAGCTCTGGCCAATACTCCCCTTGATGAGCCTTGTTATATTTTTACTGATTCTTGGGCTGTTGCCAATGGTCTGGCGGTTGGGCCTGCCACTTAGAAAATTACAGACCGGCGGATTAAAAACACTTCTCTTTAGGGCCATAAACTGTGGAAGCAAACTGTCTGGGTCAAGTCATGTAGAAGCCCGTGGCAAGCGTCCATTCTCTGATGAGATAGACTGGAATAAAACTATTAATTGATGCTATACAACCCAGATTTCCTCCACTGCTGCTTGAATCCATCATCATATTAGACATGGCAACACAGCCACCAACACAGACTGGGCACAAAGTAGAGAACTGTTACGAGGTGAAGCTGAGCCACTGAAATGGGATACACAGACTTTGTTGTGGTTGAGGGTACCTAAAGAGAGAGCATTTTCACCCTTATGAAGTACAGGGAAGGGAGAGACATTGATGACCTTTGTTCTTTAGAAACACCCAGGAAATTTTCTTCATGAAAGAAAATGTCCTGGAGAGTTTCTCCCAAACTGTTCAAAGCACCTTACATTTGACTGACTACTGGGTCTTCTATTCCTTGCCAGACAGCCCTGATCATGACTTGATTGCCAGTTCCCTTAGCTTTACAAAAAAGTCTATTACTAACTGCAGTCAACAACCCCACCTCTTACACCTTCCATGTAAAACCCGTCTACACCTCCAGATTTCTTCCCACTCCCATTCCCGCAGCCATCACTTCTCATTCTGTGGGGGTGGATGAATGCTGCTTGGCTGTTAGCAGGGACAAACAGGACTGATAATCTTCCCAAATCAAGGACCAGACTCAGTTACTCAGATTAAATTGAGAATCCTAAGACTAACCAGCCATCTGAGAGATCACATGGAGACATTGTCAACCTGTGCCCCCTGACTAATGCAGGTCCCACTCAAAGGAGCCCAACAATTGAGAACACCATATTTTTGTCCCCAAGGGGTACCCCCAAGATTATACCTCTTATAGAGAAACCTGGCATTAACTTGTATGGCTCCTGAAAACATAATGACTTATGCTTTAGGGGTGGTCAAAAGAGACCTTCAAATCTTTAAGTAAATACCATTAGTAGATGATGTAGCCTCAGATAACTTCAGAGCTTTCCCAAAATGAAGCTACCATTGGTTACTTGAGGGAGCTTCCCTGGGGGATAGTTGACTTGTCATTTATGTGCCCCTTGTGGACAATTATCCCTAAGACAGATGTCCAGTTAGAAAAAGTAGAACAAAATTTGTTTCTGCCTTTAGCTAAAGTTATCAATGATACCACCTCATCCCTTCAAGACATTCAGGTCAGCAGTCAAGTCACTGGCCAGGGTTGTTATGAATGATAGAACTGCCCTAGATTTCCTCCTTGTGGGTCAAGGTGAAGTCTGTGCAATGGCTACTACAGACTGCTTTACCTGGGTTGATGCCTTGGACCAAGAGAGAAGATCAACAGAGAAACTTAAGGAGAAAGCCATCTGGTTGACAGGATTTGTTCAGCTGGAGGGGTTCAGGACCATTGATGGCATGGTTGACACTAGTTTACAATATGCCTCATTCTACTTCTTGGAGTTCTATTGATAGTAGCTTTGACTAAATATTGTATGAGACAAATTAATGGATGTGGTTCCAGCCTCTGTTGGTCAGAGTAATCAGAGTGGTATGCGCATGGGAAAATTCACCAGGAGCCAAGACAATGTAGAAGTGAAAGGTAAATATTTTTAGGAAACAAGTCTCTCTGGGTTTCTCACATTTCTACAAGTTGTATGAGCAGAGGCACTGACTGCCTTTGCCTCAGACATTCTTTTCAAGCTTGTTTGTAGAGTGAACAGCCTTGGAAGCAAGGAGTAGGTTTGCTTACTACCCATTATAAAAGATTTGGGCTCCCTAATTTGGAGTTCCTCTCCTGCTGCAATCTAACCTACTGTCTAAACAGGGGTCATCTGGTCTTCTTCCTACTGTCCTGTGGGAATTAGGATGAGGGAAATGATACAAAACTGATAATACTCTGGTAATCCTATTGTTATGAGTAATAAAGTGCCCTTTGTCTCTGAACCAGTTTTGTTTCTTATGCCAAGGATCTAAGAAATTGGGGCAGGCTAACTTGTTAGGTTATAAGCAGAGTAAAATCTTAGATCTTTCATAGTTCTTGACATAGATCTGCAGATGAAGAAGTCTGAGAGAGGAAAGGATGTGGTTGGAGGAGGATGTGGGATCAGTGGAGGTGTTTGTTTATTTATGTGTCATCAGAAAGGAGATATCTAAGCATATTAAATTCTAATGGAAAGTAGCATTGTTGTCTGTAATCACATAAATATGGAAAGCACCCATATGTCCTTCCAAGTAGGACAGACAGATAAGTTGTGGCATAAATGTATTACTAGACAGCAGTAAAAACAAAAAACCACAGTTATATGTCTCAAAATGGTTGAATATCAAAAACACAATAACAAAGAGAAGGAACAAGTTACAGAGGTACACATGTAGTATGAGTTTGTTTTCATAAAGTTCAAAAACAGGAAAAAGTAAATAATGCATTATTTAGGAATATAAGCAGAGATGGCAAAACAAAGGAAATGATTAACCCAAAATTCAGAATAATGATTATGAAGGGTGGGGGACACAATTCAGGAGGAGAATATAAAAGGCTTTTGAGGGATGGAAACATTCTAATTTTTGGCTTGGATGGTAGGTACATGGGTGTTAATGTCATTATTTTCCTTTAGGTTGTATATATATATTTTAACATATATGCTACATTTTATAATTTGTTTAAAAAGTGTTAATAGAAAGGAGTCAAAAGAGAAAAAAGCTAAGAATATAGTCAAGAGAGAGGCTATTTAGATGGCTAGGCAGGGTTGAGGGTCCACTTGCATTTAGACTCTCAAGAACTTATAGAGGCATCAACCTGCTCAGTTGAGTGAAATTTGTCTTTTTCATCCTCTTGTCCCCATTCTAAGCCCTTTCCTATTCCCTTTGAAGCCTGCCTTCAGGCATTCTTTTATAGAGGTAAGTGATTATGCTATTTGTAAGCAGCTCATTCTTGGACTCCTTAGCTCAGAAGATTACCCATGGGCCCCAGGACATCACATGGTACCTCTGCTAGATTTTCTTCTGCTGCAGTAATGAGAGGTGTATTCCCAGTCTTTGGATGCTGAAAGTTAAGGTTTCCAAGGATGGAATGGACTTTAGTAATATAGTCACAGATGAGTTCCACATCACCCCTTGAAACTACTTCCAGGAAATCATGAATCAGTTTATTTTTATTCATCTTGCTAATTCCATATAATTGCCTGCCAAAGAAGAGAAACAATTTAATTAAATGAGAGCCAACAAAGCATGGGTGGTTCAAATGTAACGTATTCTATCTTTAGTGTCACCTCTTTCCCTCTTTTATGTATAAAATACTATAACAGTTTTTAAGACAATTTTGAAAAAGAGGAAAACCTAGTAATCCCATCAGTCTTGGTTCTGTGCACATGTTTTAAATTATAAATAACAATTTTTACCATCACTTTGTGAGCTCTGCTGTGGTACAGTAGAAGAAAGGATGGATCAACACCAGAATGGAAAGAACAGAGGCTCTGGAGCCTGAAAGAACTTGGGTTTTTCCACAGATTACCACTGTGTAAACTTGAGCACATCATGCAACTTTTCCAAGCTTAATTTCCTCATCTCTAAAATGGAAATAAAAATCCCCTCTTCAAATGGTTGGTGAGGATCTGAAATACTATATACAAAGCTTTGGCACTCCTTCAACAGATGAATGGATAGAGAAGATGTAGTTCATATATACAATGGAATATTACTCAGCCATCAGAAAGGATGAATACTTACCATTTACATCAACATGGATGGAACTGGAGGATATTATGCTAAGTGAAATAAGTCAATCAGAGAAAGACAATTACATGGTTTCACTCATATGTGGAATATAAGAAATAGTGCAGACGATCATAGGGGAAGGGAGGGAAAACTGAAGGGGAAGAAATCAAAGAGACAAACCATGAGAGAGTCTTGACCCTGGGAAACAAACTGAGGGTTGAGGAAGGGGAGGTAGGAGGGGGGATGAGGTAACTGGGTGATGGGCATTAAGGAGGGCACCTGATGTGATGAGCACTGGGTGTTATATGCAACTGATAAATCATTGAACACTACATCAGAAACTAATGATGTATTATATGTTGGCTAATTGAATTTAAATAAATAATAATAATTTAAACCAAAGCTTTGGCACATTCTATTGGTGAAAATTCTTGTAGGATTTTATTTTCTTTAGTGTTGTTTATTAAAATCCCTGTAACTATTTTCTTTATGGAAGTTCTATTTTCCTAATACCATAAACTCCTCAGTAGCAGGAACATTCCATGCCTTACATTTTGTATCCTCAATAACTCTAGTACAATGTGAGTCATTGAAGAGCATGGTGGCCACCATTCCAGATTTTCCAGGAAAATCCTGATTTTATATATGTCATCTCAGTTTTCCAAATCATTGAAATATCTCTTAGAGTGCAATTTTTGAAGTCACCAGATTATCTCCCCCATGGAGCCTCTTGCTGTTGGAAACAGCACAAAATCATTTGTCAGACTCTATATTCCAACTTCAGCTTCTGAAACCATAGTCACTGCAGGTAGGTATATGCTATTTCATTGAACTGGCAATTTACTTGCAATGAACTGGCATTATGTTGAAAACAAGAAAACAAAAAGCCCATTTCATAGTACACCTGTGTGGATAAAAGTTAACCAAAATAAGGGGGTGCCTGGGTGGCTCAGTCGGTTAAGCGGCTGCCTTCGGCTCAGGTCATGATCCTGGGGTCCTGGGATCGAGCCCCGCATCTGGCTCCCTGCTCAGCGGAGAGCCTGCTTCTCCCTCTCCCTCTGCCTGCCACTCTGCCTATTTGTGCTCTCTATCTGTCAAATAAATAAATAAAATCTTAAAAAAAAAAAAAGTTAACCAAAATAAACAAGAAAATGTCTAGAATTGGTCTTTCTTGTTCTATACACACAAATGCCTTAGAATTCATAGGCCAGATTATATAGGGCCTTCTTTTTCAAAGAGAACATGTATTTCACCCCAGAAATAGTACTATTTGATAAATTCATTCATTCATTTAAGAGACTACTATATGTCCTTCCCTTGTTTTCATTGACCTGTCACAATCGAAAATAACATAAAATAGCTAAGACAAAATGGAAGGAAAAAAAATTATAATTGTCAAAGCAAGCAACAAATAATGAATCTTACAATGTCAGAGAAATGGGATGGTCATGTGACTGGAGCACTCCATGGGAAAAAGGGTATCAATAATATTTGGAGAGCTGGAGTGAAGAGGAAAGGATAGTTTTGACGAGGGGAAGGGCATGAATGAGGCCCATAATCAGGATCAATGAGGAGAGAGTGGACCCGATGGGAATCTACACTTTACTTCCGAACAGGTTGGGAAGCCCATGGAGAGTTTGAGTAGTGCCTTTTAGGAACAGTGGTACTTTGAGAAGATTATTATGATAGACAATAGAAAGGCAAAAATAGACATTGAAAGTAAAGCTTAAAGGATTTGTGACTGATTGGCCATAGAAAATGAGAAATGGGTCCAAGAGGATGTGTTTGGGCAACTGGGGAAGACCTGATGCTGGGGTAGGCAGCCATTTGCTTTTACAGAATGATAATCAATGAGGTCAGCAACAGGGCGCCTGGGTGGCTCAGTTGGTTAAGCAACTGCCTTCGGCTCAGGTCATGATCCTGGAGTCCCTGGATCGAGTCCGCATCGGGCTCCCTGCTCTGCAGGGAGTCTGCTTCTCCCTCCGACCCTCCCCCCTCTCATGTGCTCTCTCTCATTCTCTCTCTCTCAAATAAATAAATAAAATCTTTAAAAAAATTAAAAAAAAAAATGAGGTCAGCAACAGAGTCAGCATGTAAGTAGGGTGTCTTGTTTCCTTGGCTCTCCAAGAAATGTGGCCTTGGGTGAGTGCAGTTTCCTAAACTAGCTTGAGCATAAGAATTTTGGTATTCCCTTGTTATGAATAAAGATTCCCAAGTTCCTTTGGATTTATCCTGTACAGAATGAGACTGGGGATTCCACCCCCCCATTTTTTGTTTTAATTTTTAAAAATTTTAATAGACTCATTTTATTTAGTTAATTTTAATAGACTTGCTTTAAATAGACTTTATTTTTTTTAGAGTAGTTTTAGGTTCACAACAAATTCGAATGGAAAGTGCAGAGGGTTCCCATATGCCTCTTGACACCACACATACACAGCTTCCCTATTATCAACATCCAGCACCACACTGGTACATTTGTTACAATTGATGAACCTACATTGACACATCATTATTATCCAAAGTTTAGAACATACTCTTAGGGCTCACTCTTGGTGTTGTACACTCTAGGACTTTGGACCAATGTATAATGATATGTACCCACCTTTATACTATTAGTTTCCCCTAAAAATCCTTTGTGCTCCACCTATTCAATGCCTGACCCTCAATACCTGGCAACCACTTATTTTTTTACTGTCTCTAGGACATACCTTTTTTTTGCTCAAGCTTTCAGGTGATTTCTATCATTAGACAACTTCTAGAAACATAGACCTAGTGGTTAGAATCCAATCCACAATCTTTCTTGCAATTCATTTTCTTTTCCTTTTTTTCCAAGATTTATTTATTTAATTGAGCTAGAGGGAGAGAAAGAGAGAGAGCACGAGCATGGGAGAAGGAGCAGATGGAGAGAATCTCCAGGTGGACTCCCCACTGAGTGCAGAGCCTGATGCAGGGCTAATCCCGTGACCCATGAGATCATGACCTGAGCCGAAACCCAGAGTCAGACACTTAACTGACTGAGCCACCCAGGTGCTCCTCGTTTTATTTTCTAATTGACATTTAACATTACCACTTATTCCTTTTGATTTAAATTTCTTAGAATAAATACCATTTTCCCCTAAATTTCTAATAGAGAATAAATTGAAATAGAGAATCAATTCCTCAAGTCTCTCCCTAGTTTTGTTCAAAATGCTGTTACCTAATAATAATATTAATAATATAATCATAACAGCAGTAATGTCTAACATTTATTGAATGCTTACTACATGCCATATGCTATTCTAAATGCCTTACATGTATTTTATCTATTTAATTCCAAACACCACCATCCGGAGAGTAGTATTATTATCCATATTTTACAGATGAGGAGAATTAGGCACAGGTGTTGGCAAAATGGGCTCTCACCCAGGAGACATGTTGGTGCTAGCACCCAAAAAAGACTTAATGCAACTGGTATTTACAGGAACATTCATAAAGTAAGCCTATTTTCATCTCTTTGGATCCTAGGTAGAGAGGGGTGGGTTGATCATACCCATTAGCAGTACTGGGCTCTGTCTAGTTTTCCTCTTGTTTTATTTTTTCTTTCTTCAACTCTGATCTCTCCCACTCCCCTCTGCCTCACAGGAGCCAATCTGATGTGCCCAAGAGGTATCCTCAGATGGGTAGATAGTTCTAAAAGCATGTAGTGCCATTATGTATGTGTGCATGTTTTAAACTTGCCCAAATGGTATTATTACTTACTTTTTAACTTAATACTTTGTTTTAAAGCTTTAACCTTGTACTTATGCGTACCTCTGTTTGTTTGCTTCTAATGGCTGCATAGCATGTCTCCACCACACTTTATTATCCTGTCCCTTGGTTATGGACATCTAAGTTGCCTCCAACTTGCCACTCCATAAACAACACTGCAAGAAATATCCCTGTTCAGGCCTTGTTATGCACTGTGCAAAAGTTTCTCTAAGGTGAATGAGTCGAGGGTGGGGGGATGGGTGAGCCTGGTGATGGGTATTAAAGAGGGCACGTTCTGCATGGAGCCCTGGGTGTTATACGCAAACAATGAATCATGGAACACTACATCAAAAACTAATGATGTAATGCATGGTGACTAACGTAACAATAAAAAATTAAAAATAAAACAAAATAAGGTGAATGAATCGAAATGTATTTAATTTCACGAAATACTGCCAGGTTATTCCTCATGATGGCTGCACCAATTTATACTCCCACCAGTAGTGCCTGTTTTCTTTAAGCTCTTCTGAGGGAAGCAGACATTTGGTTAATTGCTGTCACTTAATCATCATTATCATTATCATCAACATTGAATAAGCAGTGTACTTGGAACATTGCTAGGGACTGAAGGATCAAATGATACACTCGAAATTAGGCCATAGAAAAATTTAAAATCAGCATACGTATTTGTCCCAGCAAACGGCTTTGAAACTTGGATTTATATACTTCTTTTTGAAAATGTAAAAGTGTTTGCAATATCACAGGTAAAAGAAACACCTTCAGAAACAAAGTAAAGCTGAAAATCAGGTATTCAAATAATGATTAGGCAAGGAATATATACTTATATTCATTCATAAAGTGGAAATAAAACCCCAAAGGTATTTCTTTGCAAGGTTATTACCCTAACAATGAAATGACAATGGATGTTCAGGAGTTGTGGCTTAATTCTTTAATGTTACCTTTAAGCGAGAGCATTTCACAAGTAGTATCTGCCATTCTAATAAAAAATACACCAGATTTAAACCAAACTATTATAAGGCTATAATGTTCACTCTACTGGAATTAATTTTTTTTTTTTTTTTAAGTAGGCTCTATGCCCACCGTGGGGCTTGAACTCACAACCCTGAGGTTAAGAGTCACATGTTTTACCAACAGCCAGCCAGGCACCCCTGGAATTAAAAATTTTTTAAAAAAGAGTTAAACCAAATTGCAACCTGAAATTTATCAAATCAAACCACTACAGTACTGGGCAATGTGGTCATTATTTGGTCATTCATTGTCTCACACACTGAGTCGTGGCTGGAGGAAGACAATGAAAATTGGATCAGCATATAGCAGTATTCCTATACACAGGTAAGCTCTTTCAATTAACACGGAAAGACCCACATTGCTTTTTATTAGTGAGTTCCATTTCCTCTTCTGATCTTCAGTCAGCACATTTCCAGGTTGTTGTTGTTGTTTTTAATAAGAAAATGTTTCTCAATTTTCCTTTTAGGATTGTTTTGATCAATGATTTTTAAGCAATATTATTTCATTCCACAGGGATTTCTGGTTTAGCATCTAGAAAAACCCAGTGTCTTTTATCTTTCACTGTGTGCATGGTTAGTCTACTTGTAAAACAAAGCATTTTATTACACTGTACATTTCATTTGGAATCTTACGTAATTGAGACTTAAAGTAATGGGATCCCTTTTCATGTTGAGAAAATATGGCCAGGTCACATATATACAGTACTGAGTGTTTACAAGAAGACTTATATCGGGCGCCTGGGTGGCTCAGTTGGTTAAGCGACTGCCTTCAGCTCAGGTCATGATCCTGGAGTCCCAGGATCTAGTCCCACACCGGGCTCCCCGCTCAGTGGGGAGTCTGCTTCTCCCTCTGACCCTCTCCCCTCTCATGCTCCCTCATTCTCTCTCTCTCTCAAATAAATAAATAAAATCTTTAAAAAAAAAAAAGAAGAAGACATATCATTTAAACTTAACACATACTTAAGTGACTAAACTAAAATAAAAGATGTCCCTGGGTATAATTAAATCAAAGCAAGTATTCTTGTATACTTTTCTTGCCCTTACCAGTTTAGCCTGTGATCTAGAGGCATTTGCATAAAGTATTAGAAAGGATTGTCTTGATATTTGAAAACTCAAAGATAATTTATTACAGCAACTCTAAGGATATAATTATTTGAGATTAGGACATAGTTTCCTCTATCAGTTTACCTGACGTTCCTCCTCTGGGACATCCTTTGGGGAGAAGAAAAAAAGTTGCAACATAGGGCAATACCTAAAATGTGCCCAAAAGTGGAGATTTGGCTTACCTATGTTGCGTTTTGCCGAGGGAGCTGATACACAGTTGAAGAAAGACTGAGAAAAACAGCAGTCAATGTCATCCTAATTTATTGTGGCACTGATTTCTGGGACAGCTGTCAACCCACGCTTCAGTAAAGGATCCATTTAAAAGCAGCATAGATACAGATTTTTTTTTTTGATTATTTTCCAATGTTGCACAGCTCAAAGTACTTAAAAAAATAATTAAAGCTGGTTCTGTGTGCACAAACCCTTCAGTTAGCTGCAAAGAGCCTGCTTAGTTTACAGGTTGTCACCCAGGCAACCAGCCACTGTGCATTCAGCTTTGAGAATTGAAGGCAGGACAATCTCATCCAGGAAGGAAAACAAGCATTGTACACTCTTCAAAGTTGCTGTTTAAGTGCTTGAAGGAGTTGGACCCTAGTGTACGTCCATGCTTGGCACAATTGCCATTATCATCTTACCCACTGAGATTTTCTCCAGGAAAGCCATACCTTTGTCATTGCCATAATGTGCTAGAAGGATCCCTTTCCGAATCTAAATATAAGATACAGAGCAGGAGAATCCAATAGGTTACCCCCAGACTGGCTGTACTCTTAAAGTCATGTTTGAAAAAGCACCAGTGAATGGAAGTTCTTCCATCAGAACATATTTCTTGTCTAGACTTGTGATATTCCCAAGCAAAGTCTTTAGGAAATGGACTGTATTTTTGTCTGAGTCATAAAAGCTAATTAACCCAGCTGTAAGAGACTTTAAGTTGTGACTACAAGAACACTCATGAGGAGGTAGACCCAAGGCACTCTAAAACATAGGGTTGTCTGCCATTTGCGTGCTGCTAGATTTTTTTTTTTTTAATGCCACTTACTGGAGGATGCAGGGGGTTTTCTTCGGAAGATGTTAAATATACTCAACTGCAAAGGGTGCAAATATTTTATTGTAACAACAGGTGGCATTTATTAAATTCTTACTAGGTTAGTCCTTTACGTTAATGATGTCATTTAACCCCCACAACAGCTCTAAGGAGTTGATTCTATAATCACCATCATTCCCCATGTTACAGATGAGAACACTGAGGCTTAGAAGAAATTTTAAGCTAATAAATGGTAGAGCTAGGGACTGAACCAAAGCAGCCTGACTGCAACGTTGAAATATTAACCTTTACTATGCTAACACACAACACACACACACACACACACACATACACACACACCCCTTGAGTCAGTGAACGTTGCAGGGTAAACGACCACTCAGAGATTGCTAGGTTTCTGTACACTCTTTCATCACCTCATTCAGCCTGAAGCGCTTTAACGCTAATCCAAGCACATGCAGGCTGTTACTCAGTTTTACTTTCTACATCCTTCCATGTTTCTGCTGCCAGGAGGAAGAGTACCCTTTCTTAGCTTTTATGTCAAGAGAAAGTTGTAAGTACTGTACTTTCTGATGTTTAGGATTTCTGCAGGGTTACCCTTGGGCTCAGCCTGGTCTGCAGTCCATGAATCTTTCTATTGGTTCCTCAGAGAGCAGTCCTCCCCTTGTCTCTCATTTTGAGAAACAGTCATTCACTCAAATCATGTTTTTTTTCAAGAAACACAAATTTTCAGAAGCAGTGGCAAGATAAGCATGCAAAACAAGGAGAATCCAGTGGTCGCCCCTTACCCTCAGGGAATATGCTTCAAGACCTGCAGTGAATGCCTGAAACCTCAGACAGTACCGGACCCTCTGGTTTTTCCTATACATATTTAGTTACACACATAGTTAGAATAACTTTATCAATTAGGCACAGTAAGAGATTAGAAACAATAATTACTAATGGAATAGAACATTTATGACATTATACTGAATAAAAGTTCTGGGAACGTGGTCTTTATCTCTCAAAGTAACTTACTGTACTGTGCTCACCCAAGTTCTTGTGATGATGTGAGGTGATAAAATGCCTACGTGATGAGATGAAGTGAGGGAAACGACAACGACGCAGGCGCTGTGACGGACGTAGCCTCACGCTACTGCTGACCTTACGACAATATGTCAGAAGGAGGATCCTCTGCTTCCCGAGGGTTGTTGACCATGGGGAACTAAAACTACGGAAACCACGGATAAGGGGGGGGCTCCTGTATTAGGTGATAAGGCCACCACAGAGCTATGTAGAAGGCTCTGGGGAAGCCTGGAACTTTCTCAGTTGGAAGGGCTGGGGTATGTTAGTTTGCTAGGGCTTCCATAACAAAATACCACAGCCTGGGTGGCTTAGGCAACTGAAGTTGGTTTCCTCACAATTCTGCAGGCTGAGAATCCAAGATCAACTGGTTGGCAGGTTTGGTGTCTCCTGAGGCTCCTCTCCTCAGCTTGCAGGTAGCTGATTCTCACTGTTCTCATAGGGTCTTTTCTCTGTGCACGAGCCCTTGGTGTCTCTCCCTGTGGCCTAATCTCCTTTTTTAAATAAGAACACCAATATGATTGGATTAGGGGCCACCCTAATGGCCTCATTAACTTATTCACCTCTGTGAAAGTCTTACCTCCAAATATAATCACATGCTGAAGTACTAGGGATTAGCGCTTCAACATATGAATTTTGGGGGGAACACAGTTCAGCCTATAACAGCATAGGGAGTCTTCAGAGAAGAGATAATTACCTGAGCTGAAATTTGAAGGACAAATAGTTCACCAGGTAAACCACAGACAGAAGGATATTGCAGATAAAATAAACCACAGCATGTCCAGAGGAAAGAGAAAGCATTAAAATGTTGAAAATATTGTGTTTGGCATGTATATGTGTGGTTGGACCACAGAATACATGGTGGGGGTGGAGGAGGACAGAGGGGAAGTGAGGCTATTTCCAGCTG